CGATGTTAGATTTGCCCGATTTAAATGTGTATATACATGCACGCTGCCAATTAGAAAGATGAAGATATTTCATTTCCGTCTCTAAGTATAAATACATCAACGTAAAGAGGAGAGAGAAATGAAAACAATCAGCAAAAACCAAGAAAATTTATCATGGCACGGGGGGATGGAGTAACGTACACATTTGGGTCCTCAAATGCTCACTTAGATTAAACAACCAGGGCTGAAATTCTTTAACTTCTAACCATAGATTGCTGCAGTGCTGGAGTTATGTGCAAACAAAGGGAGAATCCATGTGGCTACTTACCACGAAAAATCTCCATCCTGCTTTTCAAAAGAACGCAGGAAGGAAAAGCCCCACTGAGTTAGGGATGTGCCAGGGCCGATGTGGTGCCAGAATGTATCACAGTAGTTGTTCCCATGACACTCACAATGTTCGTGAGGCAGCATGATAGGAGGGCAAATTTGCAGTGGGTGGAGAATCGGTTTAACAGGCAAGAAACAGATTCAGCCATTCGGGATGCTTTACTGGGCTTTTGTTTATCTACCTCTGTGATAGTTCTCATTAGCTGTCAATTTCATTCTCCAGGACAGAGATGGAGAAAAATGACTGCTCTTTTTTCAACAAACCCTGGGAAGCAGCACTAGGAAGAAGCCCCCACAACATTCTGGCTTTACAGCATCTAGGCTATCAGCCACACGACAGCTGTGCATTTGAACAATGACTTGCTGGAGAGACAATGATTGAAAGAGTCAATCTGACACAGGGAGAGGCAGTAGCAAGTCGAGTAGGAGGTGATGGGGGAGAAGTGAGGTCAGAAAAAACAAGTTAGTGCTGGGAATGAGAGGAAGGGGGAGAAAAGAAAGCACAAGACTACAGACAGAAAAAATAAAAATGGGGAAATTCCAAACAGATGTTCCCAAAGCAGCAGTCTGAGTATCCTGCCCTGGGTGGGAAACCATGTGGTCACTACCTGGTGGTTTTACTTCACCAGTACAGACTCAGAGGCCAAGGGCGGGAGACTGTACATTATCTTAGGATCTAACGTGGATTAACAAAATTTTAAACATAAGGACTAAGGATGGGAAAGAGAAGGTGAGATTACTAAATGGGCCTGATTGTTCTCTAAGGGAAAAGTGTCTTTGCATTTGGTTAAATTTAAAACAAAAGAACAAGCAACGTTATGACCATCCCTAAAATGTGGTTTTATTACCTATGACAAGTTTACACAAATACATTAAAAAAAAAAAAAAAAAAAAGGAAAAAAACAAGGGCATACAGGCTAGGTGGAGGGAAAGAGAAGACCAAATTCTTTTTCAACAAAAATATGCATGATTTCTAACAAATCCCCTTAAAATAACAACACATAAGATTTACGATGAGCATCTCAAAAACGGATGTTGTAATGTCCCTAGGCTCAGCTTTGGGAACAGAGTGGAGAAACAGGTAGCATGTGAACTCAAGCCATGGAGGACGGCCACCAGGAGGTACAGGGCCAGCATGTGGACAAATGTGTGAGTCCTCTGCATGAGTTAAAAAAGGGTGCCCCTTCCCACAGAACAGCCTGAATTTCACTCCCATTTACCCCTCTGGCCCATGTCCTTGTCCAGTGAGGAACCTGCTCAACTGCATGCGGCAGCCATGGCTAATGCCACTGAGAGGGTGGTACTGATCAGTTAGTTGATGTGGTCTCAATACATACAAAAAGTATGAGGAATCACCCCAGATTTTAAACTGCATCCGTTGTTAAATTTTACGTTAGACTGCCTGCTCATCGTGCCACACAATCACCAATTTGCCTGTGATCTAAGTGAAGCAAGGGTGCAGACGCTTGTTCCCCCTCCTCTGGACTTTCTCAGACCTGATCCCCAAGAAGATCAACCACTAACCTACCATCTTTTTTTCCCCCAAGTTAGAAGAAACATAGATTCAACTTTGTAAAAATGCATTATGCTTTCATGGCTGGCTCTGAGCAGGTCCTACTGAGTAACCTCAGTAAGCACAGCAAATCGTCACTGGAAACTTGGCATTCATGTCTTCTGAAATGCACAAGAACACCACTGGATTCCCAATCAGAAGACTTGCCAAAACCACCTGTGCTGCTCTGGACAGCACAGGGCAAGCCTCCGGGTCTCGGTTAACGATAACCAGAACCACAGCGACAGGGAACATGCACTGAGTGTTTACCATGTGTCTCCTTTATGTGCATCAACATTTAATCTTTACAGGAACCCTAGGAGGTGTGGTTATAATCTTTACAAATGCAGAAACTGAGGCACAGAGGAGGCTCAGAGGCCTGTCCAAGGTTATAAAACTAGTAGGTGGCGATAAAATGAGGTGAGATCAGCTAATTATTTAAAGTCCATCCAGTTGCAGTGTTGTGGTTCCACCCAGGAGAAAAGTGAACAGGTGTCAAAACTGCCGACCAGCTTTTCCAGGAGGTCACTCCTCTTAGAAGAACACGAACTTTAAAGAAACGTTCTCTCTGCCATGTTTTGCACAGTCCCATTACTCTGTACCTTCACACTCAGCAAACACGGTTACGGATCTACTTGAAGGGCGTTCCTCCCCACCAAAAGTGGAACTTCCGCTGTGTCATTTTTTCCCTGTGCCACAGGGATGCAAGGAGCTGATCTGGACTAGTATGGTGAAATGAAAACGTAGGCTCTGGGCAGTTAGCATTTCGGACCCAAAATTAAAAACACGCTGTGTGCTTTAAACAACGTTTCCAAGAAACCTGAAAGCATTCTACTACAGACTTACTTTCCCAAGAAGCTGGCAGACAGATTCCTATTCAGGTCCTTACCCGCAGCGACTACAAACAACAGGCCTCATTTGAGATGGGGCTAGGGGGTCATCAGAAGCGTAATCCGCTGACCAACTCTATGCTGCACAACACAGAGCTAAGCACCAGACTCTGAAGCCAGTTCACCTGCCGAGCTACCTCCTCCACAGTATGTGGTACCATGTGTCCAAAGTGAGCCCTTTTGTTGGGTATGTTGTGTTCTACACCACATCAAAATCCAAAGAGTGAAAAAGGAGTTTCAAAATCCCCACTGGAATGATAAACATAGGTATGAAAATCAACAGATTGCGAATTACCCATGTCAGGAATTTTAAATAAAAAGCTACAATATCTTTATCCCTGTGAGGAGTTTTCATTGAAGTTACTATTACTAAGAAAAGTCCTTTTGATCCAATTTTCGAAAGGAGTTCTTGCTCAACAAGTATAATACTTTACATATGATTTCCTAATGTTTAGGTAGTTGATGCTTCAAAAATCATCTCAACACCAAAAACTGCCTAAGGATTTCTGGAATATAAAGTATTCGGAGCTTTAAAAATGTTGAAGGTGGGTAAATCCAGGTTTAATTACAATCTCTGTAAGGACAAACATATTTCTGAAAGAAAGGTTAACATCAGAATGCCTAAATCAAAATGTGCTATATTATAGCTGTATCTAAAATATGGATGAACCTTAGAAACAGAACATTTAGTCAAAAAAGCAAATTGTGGGAGACCATTTACAGCATGAATGGATAACCGCATTTTCTGTTTTGACAAGAATCTTCCTAGTTTATGCCTACTGTCCCCTAATTATTAATAGCAACACTTCCATGCCCCCAAAAGTGTCTCAGCTTGGTTGATAAATTATATAGTCACTCCACATACGTTTCTATAAATCTCAAAACTCAATAAAACTAATATTTTCTATGAATTTTTATAATAAAATTCTTCCACAAAACAAAACAAAACACCCAAAAGGAACAATTAAAAAAAAACTGTTCACAGAGTATTTGAGGCAGGGAAGAGGGACGGGACTAAAGATAAGAAAGGAACACACAGGTAGACACAGCAAAACTGGTAATACTCCAATTCTTAAACAGGACGGTGGGTTCACGAGTATTCATTTGATAGCTATGTCTCATCATTGGCATGTTGTATGTGTTCACATATATACATATATATATGTTTATCTATCTCTCTCTCTCTCTATATATATAGATATATATGTTTATCTATATCTATATATACATGTTTATCTATATAAATATAGATTTATTAGATATCTATCTATATAGATATAGATATCTATATAAATATAAACATATATAGATTTATATATAAAACATCCCATAATAAGCATTTTTTAAATACAAAAGCAGTAAAATGTAAGAAGGGGTAAAACTACCACCCATGCTTTCAAGAGAACAGAATAAACTATCAGAAGATTTATCCACAATTTAATATTCGTTCTAATACATTAGTAAAAGGCACCTTCCGGCAGCCACCTAGATCATGTTAGCAAAAGCTACGTGGAAATAAATTACACTTAGTAATTTGCTGATAAAAGAAAGGGATGATGTTGACAGAAGAAAGCTGGAGGAGTATGATGCAACAGAAAGACAGACAAACACCCCCACGTACACAATAAAGGGGGTAAAAGACACAGACGAAGCGTGGCTGCTGAGTTCACTGGCGTGTGAACTCCTTACGTCAAAACCAGGAGGCGAGTCTCCATCAGTGACGAGGACGTGAATGTGTGCTGGCCCAGGAAAACACTGGCAGGGACACACACTACACGTCAGAAGCGGACTGCCATGGAATAAATTAAATAGAACCATAAAAACTGAGGCCGATACTTGTCCACAATCTTACCTCAGTGGCACTCATCAACAGAGAATCTTATGCATAGAATCATTACAAAACAGACACTGAGAATAAATAAATTTCTGGCGTTAAGGTCAATGTCCAAACCAAAAACATCAAACTAGCGGGTGATTTTAGTAACTGAGTGTTTATTGTTTATTCATTAGTTGAATATCTTTGGGAATCGGGGCTCTCAAAGTTATGCTTCTAACACACGGTTCCATTACCATGTGGTTTCATCACCACGTTTTTGAATAGTAAAACAAACCGTGGAATGTATGTTGCCATTTATGAACACTAGGTCTGTCTTTACCACCGAGTGGAATAATAAATATTAAGAAATGAATACCTGGAATACTTGCGGGAGAAATTGGGCCAGATCGTGACTGGTTGCTTCCCACGGGAGAGCCGACAGGAGAAGGCGACGGGCCCCCGGGGATGCTGGAGAGATGGGGGGATGCGTGTGGAGAGAAAGGCGACTGAGCAGGGTTGCTCTGATCCCCTTGGCTGCTCGTGGATCCAGACGCACTGACTGCTGAGCTCAGAGTGGCTTCCGTTCCCGTGGGGAGGTCATCAATGGAGCCAGACAGGTCCTGAGAAAGAAACACCAATAGGTTTATAAAGTAACACTCTTGGATCCATGCCTGATCAAAAAGGTATTTCAAAATTGCAACAATGCCCCTTTCGGAGACAAAGTTTTTCTAGATAATACCCAAAATTCAGAGCATGGCCACTCGTTCTTAGAAGACTTTCAGGAGGTCTCTCATGAGTTGAACCCTAAGATCTGGCCCAGCCCTAAAGAGTGAAGAAAGCTGTATACCACTCTTCCATAAAACCACCTGACAGCTTTCCTTTAAGCTGCCAGCACTTGTCCCCCAAACCTGTTCCAAGAGTTACAGGAAACAGCACTTCCGATGGTGACTTTACCATCTGAAAGAAATGATGATTTCCATAAACTGAAAACTATAGCTCCGGATCCTTCTATTTGGAGTCAACGTTGAAGGACTATGTGAATTTCAAACGATTACGTTCTAATGGAACAGCAGAATTTTAATCAAACCTTGTGGTAAGAAATGCTTACATCTTAAGTAACTGTAAGTGCCATTATGATAAAATAGTTATGTGTATACTTTTGTAGGATCCTGTGAAAATAAATCCCTTTGAGGTTATGTTGGCAGAAATGGGTCCTCATGTTATACCTTACTTTTTATAACAACTTTAAGCTAAACAAACAATTTTTAATGCCAACTCTGATTTGTTCCTAACACCCTGTAAGGCAGTTATTAACATCACCATTTGACAGACACAGAAACTGCAGCTCAGTTAGTTACTGTCGAAGGTTACAGCACTGAGGACAGAACCATCTACGCAAGAGGATGAAGAGAGTTGAGAGAGGAGTCTTCTGCAACCTGGTCAGAATGAAAGGAAGAGACTGGAGTTCGGCCTTCCTCACTGCTGTGGTGCCAGGGTCCAGAATGGGTCACCCACCAGCAGGCACTCCCAGGTCGCTGAGAGTCTGGAGATCCAGGTGGGGCCCAGAGCTAGAGCTGGCTGAGTTCTAAAGGCTGGGCTGCAGTATAAAATTATTTGCCTTGATGATCTAGGACTAAATGCTGCAGAATGGGATCAGAAATGCCAGGTTCTGTTATTGTCTACAGCGCATATTTAATTTTAATTTATACCCTCTACTCCTTCAGCTTATCTCACTGCTTACTACTAGTGGGACTTCTAAAACTAGGGCTTTGAAAACTGGTGGAGGTAGACTGAATCTAGACCAAGAAATACCAAAGGGACCAGGTAAAGCATAGCTGGTTATGGGTCTTCAGGGTACCCCCAAATGTCACAAAGCAAACTCAGGATGAGGATCCCAGTCTCCTGGAAAGTTTCTCTGTTAACCATTGTTAAATCATATAACGAGCTTCTCTTTCTTAACAGCAAAAGTGCCAACAATTAAAAAATAACATTCTCAAATAGCTACAAAAACCTCGCAAAAATGAATGGTACAGAAAAACAAAAATTTCTTATGCTAAGGAGAGTAACATCTAAGAATCGCATCTAGGTTTAGAGTAACAAACATAACAGCAAATATAACAGTATCAGGGTAGATTGAACATTATCACCACTGGAGAAAGTATCATCGAATCTCCAAAATAAAATGAGGAAAACTGAATCGTATTTTCAAAATTCAGAGGATAAAATCTATAAACGTTTCTACTCAGGGCCCACAAGTTGCATGATTTTGCACATATTCAGCTGGTAAAACACTGTATTTAACTGGATTACCGGGTTCAACGACAGTTCCATGCAGACTTTCGGAACTGAGCACAACTTTTGCGAAGCAGGGTCAGAAAGAGAGAAAGGTTATTAAGCAAGGGACACGCTGTATACAACGTAGAAAGTATTCACCCTTCAGAAATCAAGGCACTTCTCTGACTCTCTAGAAACAAGACCGAAATTAGAAGTGTACTCGTGCACTCATGTCGATCTGCTGAGAGAGCAAACAGGGCCAGTTCCAGCCGTCCCTCCCCCCACCCCCGGCTCTCTGCGGACTCCTCATGGCACAGGCTCAGAGCGAGGATGGGTGCGGGTGGTGGAAGAGGGGTTGGGGTTTAAGAACTTGCTCCCAACGCAGCCCCCTCCTGACCGGATGTAACCAATTCACAGAACTGCAAAGGGACACACGGGCGGGGCTCGTCAAAGCAGGTGTTGTCAGCTCTGGCCTGGGCGCTCCAGCTGGACGCTGCCCGTTTTTGCTCTGCCCGCGAACCAAATGTTGTTAAATGACTGAGAGGAAAAAAAAAAAGTCAAGCGTAATACTATGTGATACGTGAAAAATACTTGAAATTCGAATTTCAGTATCTGTTAACGTTTTATCGAACGCTGTCACCGCCATCCCTCTAGGTACCGACCACGGCCACTTCGGGGCTAGGATGGAGACTCTGATGGAGACCCCGTGGCCTGCAAAGCCCAAAATATCTACTGTCGGGCCCTTCCAGAAAAAGTCTGCTAACCCCTGACTCAGAGCTGAAGTATTTCTAGTACGGGGTCTACTGCCTTTGCCTCTTCCTTGGGGTAAATGAGAGAGCGCCAGGCCTCAGTCGAACCACGTGGTGACACCCTGTATGTCAGGAATCCTAGGAGCTTCGCCAAGAACAGGGACCGACTCCACATCTACATCCACCCGGAAAATACTGAATGGGAGCCAGACAGAGCCGAGTTCTCTTTGTAGGAGTGGAGGAAGCTGGGAAGCCCCCGTGACGATGGCTGGCGGGCTCTGTGTGCACGCACTCTCTAACACCTAACAAGTATCCATCGTCAATAAACAAGGGGTCCGTCGGGCAAGAAACAGTCGGGGAGCGGGGAGAGGTGGGCTTTTCATGCTTCGTTGCAGGAAAAACAAATTTTTAATAGATAACTAGAGATAAAACTATTATCTTTTACTATACTACTTATGGGTTTAAACATAGAAAAGGCTTTGACATAGATTCAATTTTTTTTTAACCATCATCATCTGAAGTTAAATACTCTTATGCAAATCTTTCTTCATAAGAAACCCAAACAAACAAATTGTTACTTGGAAATCTGTAACATTCTCTGCGCGACCTGTAAATTCCTTCCCTGTCCTCCCTTAAAATTCCAAGTTACGGCCGAACAGGTGACACGGATGGGTGTTAAGAAAGCTTGCATTCAAGCTGCAAAAGCATGAAAAACATTTCTGTTATCCAACAAGCTGATCAAGGAAATACCAAGAGAAAAATATAAAAACGGTGGCTTTCTTAGTGTTCAACATATCATCAGAATTTCAGTGCTGACTAGACCTCAGTGCAACAGAAGAGTAATAAAAAGATATAATTTCTATATTACTATTATACATACACGTAACTTTTATATGTAAATTATAGAGAAATATTCCCGCCCTGCAGACACTCAGGGTATCCATATGTATAGCTATCTTAAAACGTGTTAATAAAAGAAGTTCAACAGTGGTTTAAACATTCAGCCTAGTTAACAAAGAAGCTCTGTAACTAATACTCCTCTAGAGGACAATTTAGTCAGCAGGGCACCAACTCTATTCTTCTTTTATAAGTACTATCAGATCTATGATGCCTGTAAAGAACAGAGAGACCTTACTGCATCTCATTCGGACCAAGGCACCTTCAAGCTACAGTGCTTCCATTTATCTTGCTGGAAGGCTGGCAGGTAAGGTAATTGCAGAGAGGACTCTTTCAAGGGGCTAGAGTCCCCCTGCCCCACAGCATTCCCTTTGCATCTTTGCTGTGTGGAGCGATGGGTGAGGCAATGACTGCATGGCTCATACACAGTAAATTCGGTATTCTGCCAGGACAAGCAGAGTTGGCAAAATCTAGCTCTCGAGTTGGATTTTCAGTATGTGACATCACTCAGAATACTGAATACTTTCCAGCACCCCCAAAATAATGTAACCTCTGCCGCCAATGGTTAAATTATTTTTTGAAAAGCAGTGCCTTAGAAAAGAAAAGCTCGTTTTACTTTAAAATTTAATTTAAATGGAAGTTCCCTGCAAAGGCTTTCCCTCCGTAACCATCGTCTCTCCGCCCATGTAAAATTTTCATTCTGATCCGAGTGACAGGTACAGGAGATTTCACTGCACGGAGCAGGAAGTGCCACCGGGGAGCAATAACAATGCTAGCAGACTCTGACAAGAGAAACACTTAGGACTTAACACAGAGCGCAGATATGTCCCTGATTCAATACGATGGGACAGGGTGGGGAAGGGCAGTGACAGAGGGGTGTGTATGGGAACATGCCACGAAGGAGGAGCATAGGAAGAATTTTTAGACATCTACACATACACGTAACAGACATACAAATTCTCTCATGTCTGCATGTTATAGATGATCCTCCCTACTTTTAATTTACTGGGGGGCTGCCTACTTTTAATTTACTTCTTTTAAGACCACCTCCTTGCAATTTCCAGAGAGAAAATGCAAAACAAGAAACAGACTTGGTTTCAAATACATAAACAGTGTGCTGGAGTTGAAAGCATTACTGAGGACATTGCTACAGAAGAATGTCAGCTGACTCCAGGGCACTTCAGTATTCCTGAGGAATAGACATGATTTCTCTTTTCCTCCCACTGGGATGTTCTCAGGTGGAAGTCACTGCTCCTGCTCTTGGACATATTTTCCGTGTAGAAGATACGGAGCCTGGAAATCATGCTGACAGTTGGAGTCGGCCATTCTCAATCCCATGCCAGAACCAAAGACTAATGGCCACAGTCTTCTTTTAAAGAAGGTAAGTGAGAAAACCAGTCTTAATCCAAAACCGACACCTATCTTCACGACCGCATCCGCCATGCACTGGTCCCACTTCCTGCCGAGCTCGGAGTCCGACATGTTCCCCACCCCCAGCTCCCTAAAAATATTTTTCATTTATTATGACTTACTACATCCAGGGGCATCTTTGGTTTTGATGGTATTCAATGTATCTAGTAAGTTAGCTTCCTAAAGGATGAATTCAGGTAATGCTGGGGACATCTTACCGTCTCTTCCAAGACCTGGGAATAAGTTAGAAAATCTTACTCACTTGTTTAATTAAATAAGTGGGTTTTTAC